AGTAATTAACTAGATACTGTAATTTAATTACTAAAATTAAACTAATTAATTTTCAAAATCAACTAAATCCTAAATTTTAAAAGAATATTAAGGAGAAGATCAAAATTAAAAGTAAAGATGCAAAAGGACTATTTTTGTTATTTTCTTCCATTTTTGTAATGTTAATTAACTAATAAAACTAAAAATACTTAAATGGGGTGCTAAATGCAAATACACTATATATTTTTTTTTTTTTTTTATGAATTATATCAAACTAAGAATGCACATAAAAATGCAAACAAACACAAAATTATGCAATCAAATCCTAAAAATCAAATAATTAACGAAAAAGTCCTAATTTTATGGGAATATATAGGAATAATTCAAGCGAGGCAAAAATCACGTGCTCACAACAATACATGTTACCATCTACTGTAATTTCTGCATAACTACAACATGAACCAAACAACCCCTAAAAGCTTAAGCTCGAGTTCTTAGTGGTAGAAATTCCAAAAGTCTTTCAGTAAGCTAACATTAAGTCTGGTGTTTAGTAGAAGTCTTTGTAGTACGTTCAGAGATATGTCAGTAAAATATGAAGACAATTTCTGGTGTGAGAGAAATTTTGACTATGGGAATGTAAAGTATACAAATGGAGCAAAGTGATATAACCAACACAATTTTCCCACTTTGCCTCAGTGTCCTTGGCCATCATATCAGCTAGAGCCTATATATGTATTTGTTAAACACGAAAAGAATGTCAATAACTTGGCTTGAAGTAAGTTAATTATTGGCTAAGCTACGTGCAACTGAAAATGAAAACCAGTCTTTGAAGGATTGTCTGTCTAACTTCGAAAATGAGATGAAAGAAGTGAGGCAATTAAAAGAATTATTATTAGCGCAACAAACCTATTTCCAGCCTCCAGTTCAGGAGAATGACTATTCGGATCCTTGATGTACCAAGTGAGCAACAACTTACCTGAAACATCGATTTATTTTGTTGATTTAAGTGTATGTTATTATATATCCTTTGCGGAATTTATATCTTCTCTTGATTATAAATTTTGTCCTTACCTTTCTTTTTAGCCTTTTTTTCCTAAGACAAAATATGCCTTCTTATACACACATATAGCCTCAACAAACAAGGGAAAATATCACTTCCAAACAAGTAAACAATTAAGTTTCATCGTCATTTAACAGTAAGTCTGCCAACATGACAGATCTACCGTGAGTTTAGGCAACTGTGATCGTTAATAAATATTATTTCATTACGGGGTCATGATGGCCACTTGCCTACTGTGGAATTTCAAACTCTTGAGGTGTTTTGTTCAATATGTTTAGCTACATCTTTGTTCTTTAAGCAATATTGCTTCCTCTGTACATTATTCTCTTGAAAATGGAAGAAGCAGAACAAAAAAATGTGTGTCACTCTGGAGATGCTGGTCGATGCATGCAAAATTGCAAATTTATAGTTTCTGTCACCTAGATTGGCTCCAATATGGTTCATCCTTAGTGTAGGACTATTCTAAAGCTATGAGGTTACTTCTCTGACAGGGAAGGCCTGCTATTAGTAATGCTGATATTTTATTATACCGTCTATAATAGGATAAAACAAAAATTAGGAAAAGAAATGTTAGCTTCCAGAAATTATATCACTAAGCCCCGAGATAGTCCCATATATGGTTGCAGGTTGTAGAACTCATATATATCAGCTAATAAAGGGAAAGGGTTGGACCTGCTTCCATGGTAACAGTAGTATAGCTGTCTGTGATTTTGTAGAGTTCTTTCCATTTCTGATAACGTAATCCGTTATTAATCTGTTACATCATTTCTCCTTTTTAGCCACGTGCAAGTTAAAGAAATAAGCAATAGATACTTCTACAGGATCTACAATTTTTGCTTGTTCAAGATTCGTTTTACAGTTGCCTACATAATCTCCAATAACCTTAAAATCATAGTCATCTGTATGTTCTTGGTACCCTTTGTTTTTAGTTTTAGTCTGTAAAATCCTCTCGAAACCAGAGACCATATCAGCCCATTTTGTTTCACAAAAACCATATGCTGGATTTGTCCCTTTTCTTTTAACTGATTCCTTTTTCAATTGTAGGATAATGGGACTAGTTGAGGAGCACTAGTGTCTTTATTTGTGATGTATAAGAAACTTACTAAAGACAATATGGTCTGCTATGCTTGGCATGAAGCATGATAGATAAAATTAGTATCAGATTCCATTTTGAACGGAGTTAAAATGATACACATAAAACATAATAGTGTAGATCGTACTTGAATTTCTCAAACTTGGATTAACCAAGAAACATGGAAAATACAAAATAGCAGAGAACATTGCTATGTAGGTCTGTAGAGAATATTGTCAATGCAGAAAGGCCATTTACTTAGATATCTATAACAATTTGAAGAATATAAAGAAAGAGATCGAAACTATGAGCTTTTAGCCATTTTAAGTATAGCAAGCATAGGACATACGTCCTCGGCTACTTCCTCAAATAGAATGTTCGTTGACTTGAATTTTGGGTAGTTGAACTTAAACTTTCAGGTTTATATATACCCATTGTGTATGGTTTTGGTTGATAATGCTTTGAATCTTTACCTTTTGTCTTCAATCCACTGTTATCTATCTGTTGTCTTTTGGACTATTTTTGTGTATATGCATTAGCATAGCTAATTCTCAATGGAGGTTATTAGGGAAGAGGGTTTAGCACTCAAGCTTGAAGCCTTGACATAATTTGAAGAGGCTGCAGCTCCTGATTGAATGAAATATGCACCATTCAACATTAGGTCCCCATCTGTTCTCCAATTCCATTCCTGATTGAAGTCTAGCCATTTTCTTTTTTGCTTCTTTTTTCTCTGTCTAGCCCTAATTTTGTTCCATCTACATTGTTATAGTTTTTCTAAATAAAATTTCTTATTTCTTCTAGAGGTTTTGGATATTGAAGTTCAAGAAGCAGATTTTTGATGACATACTGATTGACCATCTTTTTGCTGGGAATGTCAAGAAAGTTTTACATGTTAATCGAAGGATATTAGTGATATATAGATTATATTTTTGCTAAATGTTTATGAACACATTGTGACTAGCTTATCATTGATGTACGGTGCAACTAACTGATGTCGATATCATTTTTGGTAATATTTTATGAAAACATATCATCTATATATATTTGATTTTGTCGTTGCAAATTGAATGTGATTTAGGGAATTACTTGTTTCTTTCGGGACTAGACTGTTAGTCCTTAAATCCTTTTTTGGAGTAGAAAATTTGGTTGCTAAATCTGTAGCTTTGTAGTGCTGCCCTATTCGACTTAGCGACCAACTTTAAACTTCTCGCAAAAGATATAACGGCCAGCTTCTAACTAGCCGTGAAAGTACTATTTAACGACCATATTTAAACTAGTTGCAAAAATATTCTAAGGACCAGGAATTTAGTCCCTAAAATATGCAAATAGGTACCAGAAATATGGTCCATAAAATTCATTTAAGGACTAGTTTTAAACTGGTCGCGAAACAGTTTTAACAACCAGTACCGCACCTGGTCCTTAAAAACCTTTAGCGGCGGAAGCTATAAGGACCAGATTAGTTGGCCGCTATTGACCATTTAGGACCAATTTCTTACTTTTAGGGACCAGTTTTCTCTTCGCTATTGAGCATTTTTCTTGTAGTGTCCAAATTGAATAAATTTCTGAACCTTGAAGCTGAATAGAAGTAAGTACAGAACCTTGAGCATCAAAAGGATGAATGTAAAGAGGATGATTGTGATCGACAAGCTCTGTAGTTAGCGTAGAGAATGAAGTCGCAAATGGAGAATCACCAGTTTCTTCATTGATCGCCATTGTAGCAGAGACACAGCTTTCAAATTGTTAATTTCTCGCAAAATTTAGCTCGATCTGACCGTGATTCACCAGATATTTGAGAATTCCTAAACCCTAGAATGAGTGAGAAGTCTTCTATGTTGAAGAAATAGCTCGATCGATCGATGAGATTGAGAAGCTAGAAAAGAATCGAATTACTCCAGTTCTATCGTAGCAGAGCTTCAGTGAGACGAGAACCTGGCTCTGATACCATGTTGAGAAGCTCTAGCTATGGAGGAACTGAAGATTCTAGAAGATGAGAAAGGAAGAAGAAGAAGTCTGAAATGAAGCTCTGTGTTATTCTTTCAGAAGAAAGAAAATGAATCGTGAAATACAGCTGCTTAGTCTTGTCCAATTTATACACAATTAACTAAATTCTAACAAACTACAACTAACTCTAATACACTATAACTAATTACACTTTGTATAAATAGCTGGGACCTACACTACTTAACAGATTCCTTTTTCCACCTAAACTCCAAATGTTGAATTATTCACCTTCACTTGTAAAAACTATCTTTCATTATGGTACTTTTGTTACATCGAATCATTTAAAATTGTGCTCTGTGTTAGCCTTACTTGCGGATATTATTACGGACACATAGTTAAAGTCATAATCCATATAAGTATGCAGGTGTTGATTTCTTATTGTTTGAACGATGAATAATGATGTTCCTCATACAAAAGCATTGTTCCATCTTCTGAAAATTACGCAAGTTTTGTAATATTCGGATTTTTTTTCTGAAAGAGGTGTCAAGGTCAATAGAACGACTAAAATACCCTTGTGAGAAATGTGAATATTAATCATCAGACTGTTCTTTTTTGTCTTGGCATTTAAAGTAAATACAAAATCAATATGTTGAAATTATAATAAGGCATCCGAGAACTTATGCTAGAATAGGTTTCTTCGTTGAGTTAAATAAATAAATATTTATCATTTTCAGGAACTTACACTTTTTTATTTTAGTTTTTATTTTATAACTCAACACATATATTTTTAATAAACTTGTATAATTTTAAAATATTTTGACTCATAATATGGGGTACACGTGTAACGAGCCTGTCCAAAAACTAGTACAATAAAAATACAGATAGACTCATAAGCTTATAAGTTTATTCACCAGAGCTTACAATATTTTGTAAATGCACATCCCATGGCTTCTTCAAGGGTAGATTTCAATGAGAGACCTTGTGCCCAGGGTGGGAGTTACTTCATATCCACTGAAACCAGCTTCAGTGAAGAGTTTTACCCATTCCTTCTTAGTTCTCTCTTTGGCAGCAAAAAGAACCATCATCAACATGTCCATATTATGTTGTGCTCGAACTGAATCATCCTTTTGCTTCGGATTTTCCAGCACTATGTCTATAATTATCACTTTCCCACCTTTTTCTCTACTTGGAATTGACTCTTTGCATTTTTTTAATATCTTCACACAATCTTCGTCCCCCCAGTTATGGAGAATCCACTGTTTAACCATGAAAAATTCGAGCAGATAGGAATTTGGGAGCGACGCCGGGTAACAATTTAAAAGTTATTAGAAATTACTACTAGCGAATTCTCACAGAATGTGATATAGAAAACTAATTATAAAGATATAAATCTTAAAAATCATTTAGCTGTAAGATTAGGCTTCTGTAATGAGAATAAATAGAGATGTATCTAAAAAAGAAAGGTGTTAGTGTGTTCAATTTGAATATGGAACTGTAACGACCCGACCCGCCGTTACGGGAGTTACCGCCCCGTTTCCCCGTTTATTGCTTCTATATGTTTCATTATATGTGTTTAGAGAATTTAAAGTAATTCGGACAGAGTTCGGTTAGAAATGAGACAATAAGTCTCTTTATGAGAAGGATTGTTTGGAAAAGTCAACCGAATGTTGACTTATGAGTTAGAAGGCTCGGAATTGATTTCCGATGATTCGACTAGTTTCGGGGGATGATTTGTGACTTAGCAGCGCAATCGGAATTGAATTTGGAGGTCCGGTGTAGAATTAGGCTTGAATTGGCTAAGGTCGGATTTTGGTGAATTCCGGATGGTAGGTGAGATTTTGATCCGAGGGTCGGAATGGAATTCCGAGAGTTGCAGTAGCTCCGTTAGGTGACTTTGGATATGCGTGCAAAGTTTCAGATCATTCGGAGGTGTTTAGGTCGGGTTTTAGATCAAATGCAAGTTTCGGAAGTTTTAGTTTAACTTAGGCTTGAATCCGTGGTAATTCGATGATTTTGGTATTTATGATAGTGTTTTTATGTTACGAGCAAGTTTGAATGAAGTAATATAACATATCTGTGCATTTGGTTGAGGTCCCGAGGGCCTCGGGGTGAATTCGGGTGGTTAAACGAGAGTTTTGAGGTGTAATTGCAGGTCAGATTTTCTGTCATGAAGCGAGTACTTGGTCGCAGAAGCGGTCGTGGCCGGCTGGGGAAAATTCCGCAGATGCGGAAGGTAGCTCGCACCAGCGGGTCCGCATAAGCGGACAAGGTGCCGCAAAGCGGTCTTTGGAGGAACCGCAGAAGCGGACTTCGCGTCGCATAAGCGAAGTCCGGGCTTCTAAGTGAAAACCGCTTAAGCGGAAATGTGGCCGCAGAAGCAGTCCCGCATAAGCGAAAGCGGGACCGCAGAAGCGAAAATTGCTGGGCAACAGAAGGGTTTTAAAATAATATTTCATCCGCGACCCTTTCATATTTTTCCTCCATTGTTGACGTTCTTAAGAGCTTTGAACAAGGAAATTCGAGGGTTTTGACTGAGAATCACTTGGAGGTAAGTTCCTTGGCCTAAATATTCGAATTTATGGTAGAAATTACATGTAAACTGTAGAAAATTCATCAAAAACGGGTCAAGCTAGGGCTTGGAAAGCTGTGATGTAAAAATGAAATTTGGAGGGTCAAACGAGCTCCGATTTTGGTAAACTTTATATGCACGGACTCGTGGCGAGACGGGGAATCTGTTGGTGTGATTTTCGGAATTTTTCGAGAAGTGGACCCGGGGCTCGGCTTTAACCAACTTCGTGAATTTTAGTACTTTTCGAGTATTTTTGATTGGGTTATGTTTCTTTAACCCATATTTATGTATTCGTTGTGATTTTGACTAGATTCGACGCGCGAGGAGGTTGATACGAAAGGAAAAGGCATTGCGGACCATTCTACGGCCGGTTAGAGGTGAGTAGTTGGTGTATATGATGGCCTGAGGGTTTGAAACCCCGGCTTATCACATTGTGACGCTATTGTAGGGCGTGACTCGTACCCCATGGCAGGTGCGGGATTAGTTATGACTGGGGATAGAGACTTAGTCCATCCTGAACAAGAATATTTCTATATTGGCGACTGATACGCACCCTGTATTGAATATATCTGGGCTTATTGCCGTGTTTGGGGCCTTGTGCCGATCTGTAGCATCCTTAGAGGATGAATGTCATTGTGATAGCATGCTTTGTATGATCATTGATCTCAGTCCTGTGTTTAATCACTGTTATAAAATGTTAAGTCACTTTTCCTGAAGTTAAATATCTAAAGTATATTCTCCCTAATAAATTGGAAATTGGGAAAAATTAATTCAATCTGTTACGTGACTCATATGCATATTGTGGACTGAGTATGGATCGGGCTGCACGCCGCAGCGAATGATATGATTATATTGCGCTTGGCCTGAAGGAGCCTCTCCGGAGTCTGTACACACCCCCAGTGAGCGCCGTCGACGTTAAACGGATCGGGCTACGCGCCGTAGCGGTCATGTGCATTGCATTGCATCTTTACATTATACTTGACTGATATATTTGAAGTTGTTTTGCTGTTAGTTCGTAATTAGGTGTTGGACTGTTAGTTTTAGCTTTACTTTGTGGCATTTCGTGGATTTCTTATCTTCAGACATTTTATATGCTTATTACTCACTGAGTCGGTAGTACTCACTCCTACTCCCTGCACCTTGTGTGCAGATTCAGGTACACCGGAGGCTTAGCTGAGCAGTCTTTGTTTCCCAGAGCTTATCAGAGTTGTTGAGGTAGCTGCTTGACGTTCGCAGGACCTGACTACTCTTCCTATTTCAGTTTTATTTATATATACATTTCCAGACTTGAGTATTTTCGTTCAGATATTGTTATTCAGATTGTTTTAGAGGCTCTAGACTCGTGACCCCAGGTCTTTGGGAGCGTTTTATCAGACTTCGTGTTTTTCTCAGTATTATTCTATTATAAATATTGGATTATTATTCTAAAACTATTATAATCTCTTTAGATTGTCGGTATTGAGGTTTACGGTTAATTTGGGAACGATTGTGGTCTGGCTTGCCAAGCAATATTGTTGGGCGCCATCACGACCGTGGTTGGGGTCGTGACAAGCTGGTATCAGAGCCAGGTTTACTAGGCCTCGCGAGTCATGAGCCGGTTTAGTAGAGTCTCGCGGATCGGTACGTAGACGTCCGTATCTATCCTCGGGAGGCTACAGAACCTTTAGGAAACACTTCACTTTCTTGAAATTCAAATCGTGCGGCTTGTTATTATGAAAAACTAAATTTTCGTATTCTATTCTCTCGCAGATGGCGAGAACCCGTACTAACGGACGTGGCGGACGACCACCAGTGCCACCTAGAGGCCGTGGTCGCGGTAGTGGCAGGGCAGCAGGGACAGCACCTGCTGACCCACCAGTTGACCAGACTCAGGGTCATATTCCAGCCCCAGTTGACCAGGCTCAGGGTCAAATTCCAGCTGTAGATGCTCCAGCAGCACCTGTTCAGGCACCGGCAGTGCCCATCGTGTTTCCTGGTCTCCAGTAGGCTTTGGCTCAGATCTTGTCCGTCTGCACTGGCTTGGCTCAAGCGGTTTCAGCTACTACAGCGGCGGCTACTTCTCAGACCGGGGGTGGTCATCAGACCCCTGATGCTCGCACACCCGAGCAGGTTGTTCAGGGCTTACAGACACCTAGGGTAGCTCCAGCTCAGCCAGTTCAGCCAGCGGCACCAGTTGCAGCAGTTGTTCCAGTTGCGCCAGTCGCACCAGCTCCAGCTCATGTGGTTCTAGCTATGCCGGATGACGAGCAGCGTCGGTTGGAGAGGTTCGGTAGGCTTCAGCCTCCGACATTCAGTGGTGTTGAGGGCGAGGATGCCCAGGGTTTTCTGGATAAGTGCCAGCGTATGCTTCGTACTGCGGGTATTCTGGAGTCTAGTGGAGTGGCTTTTACTACCTTCCAGTTCACAGGGCCTGCATTTAATTGGTGGGAGGAGTTCGAGAGGCGTAGGCCTATTGGAGCAGCGCCCCTCACGTGGCAGCAGTTCTCTACGGTATTCTTGGAAAAATATGTACCCCAGTCTCACAGGGAAGAGCTGCGTCGTCAGTTCGAGTGGTTGACTCAGGGAGATATGACAGTGACTCAGTATGAGTTGAGGTTTACACAGCTAGCTCGGCATGCTACGTGGATGATCCCGACAGATCGCAAGAGGATAAGAAGGTTTGTGGATGGCCTCAACTATCCGATCCGCATATTGATGACTAGAGAAAGGGCTACAGCAGTTACATTTGAGGAGGTAGTTGATGCGGCTCGTCAGATTGAGACAGATCGTCGTCGGGAGCGTGAGGAGAGGGAGGCTAAGAGGCCTCGAGGTTCAGGTAGTTTCAGTGGTGCTCCGTCTAGGGGCCAGTTCCAGCGCAGCAGAGGTCGTTCCTTCAGACCTCCTCAGTCAGGTCGTTCAGAGTCCAGTGGGGCTTCGTCAGGCCGTGGTCATCAGGGTCATCAGCAGAGCCAGCCTGCACTGAGTGCCCTTCCAGCTCAGAGCTCTGCTCCTGCTTCTTCAGCCCAGGGTTCATCTGCAGCGAGGGGTTCCCATCAGTCCCCTTCTCCAGCTCCAGGTCGTTGCTACGAGTGCAGTGAGTTGGGTCATATGAGGAGACAGTGTCCCCGGTTCCGTAGTAGACAGTCTCAGCAGAGGGATCAGCCCTCATCTTCTGCTCCTGTTTCTTCAGCACCCACTCAGTCAGCTAGAAGTGGAGGTCAGGTAGCCAGAGGTCACCCCAGGGGTGAGGACCGTACTGACGGTGGTCAGGCTCGATTCTATGCTCTTTCAGATAGGAGAGACGCCAGTGCATCAGATGCAGTCATCACAGGTATTATCTCAGTCTGCCACAGGGATGCCTCTGTCTTATTTGATCCCGGATCTACCTACTCCTATGTATCTTCATATTTTGATCATCATTTGGGTACAACCCGTGGTTGTCTTGCCTTGCCTGTGCATGTATCTACCCCGGTGGGTGATACTATTATTGTGGACCACGTATATCGATCCTGTCTTGTTACTATTGGGGGTCTAGAGACCCGAGTTGACTTGTTATTATTGGGCATGGTGGATTTCAACGTGATTCTGGGTATGGATTGGTTATCTCCGTACCATGCTATTTTGGACTGTCATGCCAAGACAGTTACGTTGGCTATTCCGGGTATTCCGAGGATTGAGTGGCGTGGCGTGACTAACTATGTACCCGACAGGGTGATTTCCTTCCTAAAAGCCCAACGGATGGTTGGGAAGGGTTTTTTGTCGTACTTGGCTTTCGTTAGAGATGTTGGAGCTGACTCCTAGTCTTGATTCGGTTCCCGTTGTGAGGGATTTCCCTGATGTGTTTCCAGCGGACCTGCCGGGCATGCCGCCGGACAGGGACATTATTTTCGGTATTGATCTGGTGCCGGGCACTCAGCCCATCTCTATCCCTCCCTATCGTATGGCACCAGCGGAGTTAAAACGAGTTGAAGGAACAGCTTCAGGAACTCCTAGATAAGGGGTTCATTCGCCCGAGTATGTCACCTTGGGGTGCACCAGTGTTATTTGTAAAGAAGAAGGATGGCACAATGAGAATGTGCATTGATTACAGATAGCTAAACAAGGTGACAGTGAAGAACAAGTACCCACTACCCCGTATTGAGGATTTGTTTGATCAGCTTCAGGGAGCAAGGGTATTCTCTAAGGTTGACCTTCGATCGGGCTATCACCAGCTGAAGATTAGGGATTCAGACATTATGAAAACGGCTTTCAGGACGAGATATGGGCACTACGAATTTCTAGTGATGTCCTTCGGGCTGACTAATGCCCCAGCCGCATTCATGCACTTGATGAACAGTGTATTTCGGCCGTATCTGGATTCTTTTGTGATCGTGTTTATTGATGATATTCTGGTGTACTCGCGTAGCCAGGAGGAGCACGCGCAGCACCTGAGGGTGGTATTACAGAGATTGAGAGAGGAGAAGCTTTATGCGAAGTTCTCTAAGTGTGAGTTCTGGCTTAGTACTGTGACTTTTCTGGGACACGTGGTGTCCAGTGATGGTATTCAGGTTGACCCAAAGAAGATCGAGGCGGTGCAGAGTTGGCCCAGACCGTCCTCAGCTACTGAGATCCGGAGTTTCCTCGGTTTGGCGGGTTATTATCGCAGGTTCGTTCAGGGCTTTTCATCTATTGCTTCGCCTTTGACGAAGTTGACACAGAAGAATACTCCATTTGTGTGGTCGGATGAATGCGAGGAGAGCTTCCAGAAGCTCAAGTCGGCCTTGACCACAGCTCCGGTACTGGTATTGCCATCAGCTTCAGGTTCTTACACGGTGTATTGTGATGCTTCGAGAGTTAGGATCGGTTGTGTATTGATGCAGGAGGGTAGAGTTATTGCGTATGCTTCTCGTCAGTTAAAGCCCCATGAAAAGAACTACCCTGTTCATGACTTAGAGTTGGCTGCTATCGTTCATGCCTTGAAGATTTGGAGGCATTATCTATATGGCGTATCTTGTGAGGTATATACGGACCATCGCAGTCTTCAGCACTTGTTTAAGCAGAAGGATCTTAATTTGAGGCAGCGGAGATGGCTTGAGTTACTCAAGGATTATGATATTACCATCCTGTATCATCCCGGGAAGGCCAATGTAGTGGCCGATGCCCTAAGCCGGAAGTCCATTAGTATGGGTAGTTTGGCGTACATTCCAGTTGGGGAGAGGCCCCTTGCACTTGATGTTCAGGCTTTGGCCAATCAGATGGTGAGGTTAGATATTTCCGAGCCCAGTCGAATGTTGGCTTGTATCGGTTTCCCGATCTTCGTTTGTACGTNNAAAAACGGGTCAAGCTAGGGCTTGGAAAGTTGTGATGTAAAAATGGAATTTGGAGGGTCAAACGAGCTCCGATTTTGGTAAACTTTATATGCACGGACTCGTGGCAAGACGAGGAATCTGTTGGTGTGATTTTTGGAATTTTTGGAGAAGTGGGCCCGGGGCTCGGCTTTAACCAACTTCGTGAATTTTAGTACTTTTCGAGTATTTTTGATTGGGTTATGTTTCTTTAACCCATATTTATGTATTCGTTGTGATTTTGACTAGATTCGACGCGCGAGGAGGTCGATACGAAAGGAAAAGGCATTGCGGACCATTCTACGGCCGGTTAGAGGTGAGTAGTTGGTGTATATGATGGCCTGAGGGTTTGAAACCCCGGCTTATCACATTGTGACGCTATTGTAGGGCGTGACTCGTACCCCATGGCAGGTGCGGGATTAGTTATGACTGGGGATTGAGACTTAGTCCATCCCTAACAAGAATATTTCTATATTGGCGACTGATACACACCCTGTATTGAATATATCTGGGCTTATTGCCGTGTTTGGGGCCTTGTGCCGATCTGTAGCATCCTTAGAGGATGAATGTCATTGTGATAGCACGCTTTGCATGATCATTGATCTCAGTCATGTGTTTAATCACTGTTATAAAATGTTAAGTCACTTTTCCTGAAGTTAAATATCTAAAGTATATTCTCCTTAATAAATTAGAAATTGGGAAAAATTAATTGAATCTGTTACGTGACTCATATGCATATTGTGGACTGAGTATGGATCGGGCTGCACGCCGCAGCGAATGATATGATTATATTGCGCTTGGGCTGAAGGAGCCCCTCCGGAGTCTGTACACACCCCCAGTGAGCGCCGTCGACGTTAAATGGATCGGGCTACGCGCCGTAGCGGTCATGTGCATTGCATTGCATCTTTACATTATACTTGACTGATATATTTGAAGTTGTTTTGCTGTTAGTTCGTAATTAGGTGTTGGACTGTTAGTTTTAGCTTTACTTTGTGGCATTTCGTGGATTTCTTATCTTCAGACATTTTATATGCTTATTACTCACTGAGTCGGTAGTACTCACCCCTACTCCCTGCACCTTGTGTGCAGATTCAGGTACACCGGAGGCTTAGCTGAGTAGTCTTTGTTTCCCAGAGCTTATCAGAGTTGTTGAGGTAGCTGCTTGACGTTCGCAGGACCTGACTACTCTTCCTATTTCAGTTTTATTTATATATACATTTCCAGACTTGAGTATTTTCGTTCAGATATTGTTATTCAGATTGTTTTAGAGGCTCTAGACTCGTGACCCCAGGTCTTTGGGAGCGTTTTATCAGACTTCGTGTTTTTCTCAGTATTATTCTATTATAAATATTGGATTATTATTCTAAAACTATTATAATCTCTTTAGAATGTCGGTATTGAGGTTTACGGTTAATTTGGGAACGATTGTGGTCTGGCTTGCCTAGCAATATTGTTGGGCGCCATCACAACCGTGTTTGGGGTCGTGACAGGAACTATAATTTAAGAGAGTTTCACTCATATGTACAGAGCATATAAAGAGTTTTTATATTGTCAGTTTACTTTGACCTAGGTAAGAGGTAATTTATATTATTTTCAAGATTACAATATTTCAGCATTTAGGGAGGATCACTCACTATTATAAATACTCTATTTAGGCCCATAATATTTTAATGTTAATTAAGAATTATCTAACACTAAGAGGTCTCTAGTAAGTTCAATATATCTAATATAGTAATAGTCTTATAGTAAGAATTAGAAAACCCTATTATTGGTATCACCTATAAGGATTTTCACTTCCATTATTATCTATCTTTTGCTAGATCTATTTGAATTCCCAGATATTCAAATATTTCGAGATAACTTTTTCCATATGATTTTATGTTTACCTCTTCATTTAAGACATTCGATCATCATAATTTCACATCTAAGAACTTGTGCATCTAGATGCCTACATAACATGCGTGGCTAAATCATCTCAAGCAACTATTCTCTTATTTTATTCTTTATACGCGATCCTTGCTCCTTTTGATGGATGTGATCATTTTTATTCTTATTTTATTTTGTATGACTACACATCTACCTTAAAATTTACTCCTTCTGTTCCAGTTTATGTGAACATATTTCTTTCTTGGTTTGTTCCAAAAAGAATGATCCCTTTCAAAATTTGGTAACAATTTAGCTTAAACTTACAATTATACCCTTAATGACAAACTTTTATAACCACACAAATACTCCGGGCCCCTTTTTGACTTATTTAGGACCACAAATTCCAAAATTTTCATTTTTTCTTAAACTATCCGTGTCCAGTCAAATAAGTTCACATAAATTGGAACGGAGGGAGTATATATTTGTGACAGTCATATATTGTGATAGTGATATAAGTATATTTATAAAACGAGCACATGTCATGTATTAATCATTGGTTTGGTATAGACACATATATCACCAGATGTAAGTATTTACGAAAGTATCAAAACATGTACCTTGAGTATGATTGCATTAGCATTAGGAATCTTTTCAAACATACTTCCTCCGACAAACTCCAAGTTCCCACTTCCCTTGAGATCGCCTATAACATGAGGGAGATCAAGTACAGTGCAATTTATGGCAGGAAAAGCTTTGGCTATGGCAATTGCCACAGTGCCAGTGCCACCTCCAACATCCACCAACGATGTCAACCCCTCAAAGACATGTTTACACTCCGTAATAAGCACATTGGCAATCAATCTCGAGTCATTAGCCATTGAATCATTGAAAATATCATTTCCTCTTGGTTCATCCGCGAAATAGTCCCAAAGAGATTTCCCATTATTAGCAGTATGAAAAGCAGTGGGGAAATCATTTTGGAACCAACTACTTAACTCAAACCATGGTTTTTGAAGGCATGGATCATGCATGATGAGAAAGTATGACCTCGTACTCAAGGGATCATCTTTCACAAAAAGGCGACTAGCTGGGGTAAGAGAATAGTAATTATCTTCATGTTCATTTAGGAAACCAGACTGAACTAAAGAGCGCATGAGAATGGGCAGGAAAGAGATTTTGGAAGGGTTGAGGGGAAGGGCAGCAGAGAGGTCGGAAAGACACATTGGCTTACCATGTTTGTATAAGACATCGGGAATGCCTAGTTGAACTGCACATTTTGCTGCTGAAGAGCTTACGAAGTTGTAGATATGGTTCCATGTTTGAGTTTGAGCTTGGAGAAGTTCAGTGGAACCATTCAAGTTCGATGCCATTTTCCAGGAACTTGTCTTGACTATATTTGCCATCTAAAGAAACCTAGAATATGTGTACTTATAGGACCAATTTTTTTTCTATACACTTCAGGATTCCAATTTTAGCTGTTGGACCATTATCGTCATATTTTTAAATGAGCTGGAGCACAACCATCGCTATCCAGTGATAGCATAAACGTTCTTTTATGTTGTTACCGCAATTTAATAAAAAATAACATGTTAGTAATCGCCAAATGTTTCAATTACAAAACCATGTTAATGTAAACACTTAACCATAATTGATTTTTAAAAGACATAGTTGCGAAAATATTTTATACCTCAGTATTCCTGTTTTTTTCTTGATGTAGTACAATATTTTTCGACCAAATTATTTTTTCTTGGAAGTGCATTTTCCTTCGCGATACACATGGAGAAGACATTCATCTCCAACCATACAATTCAGAGACGCTATAAATATGGTCTTCCCGGGGGCGGCTCTAACGCTTTGGGCAATGAGGCCATTGCCTTAGGCCTCCAAAATTTTGAGGCCCCAAATTTATTTTAAATTCTCATTATTATTATTATTATTATTATTATTATTATATATACTAATAATTTATATAAATAATTAGTATAAAGAAAAGTATTACAATATATTTTTTTGCTACTTGATTGAGGTTATTTTATACCAATAAATTTATAAATTATGACAATTTTCCCCCTCATTAATTAGTATATTTGCTTCACTCTTCAATTTTAACTTTTTCCTTTTTATATAGGAATTAAGTTATATATATGCAACATAATGAATTTCTTTTACAATATACTCTGAAATTGTATGAACACAAAAGCATTCATGCACCGGTTTTCTTTTTGTATAATTCGACATATTGTATTAGGTTATTTACAATTTATTTTAGATATTCACTAAAAAGTGATACTTAATAGAATGAACTACAATTATTGTTTAATTTGATCAGAAGGAGTAAATATTTTTGACACCGTCAATGCTTAAAACTTAAGTTATTACTGTTTCACCAAAGAAATAATATTTTGGATAAAATTAGAATTTGAGATGAAAAATCGGGTTACTGATAATCAAGAGACCAAAATAATAATAGACTTTCTGAGAATAATAATAAAGCAGTAAACAAATTTTTTTTATTTCAGTATGATGTAAAATGATGTCTTTTTCCCAATACAACTTCCTCCTTTTATAGTTGATTCTAGGTAAAGGAATAAAACATAAGCTTTAATGAGACAATTATGGACAATAAATGACATTAAATGAGCCGTTACACAATCATTCCTATTAAATACCAATTTTCTAACGTATCAGGTATTTAATACTGAATTTGGACTCCTTTTTGTCTTCAAATTCATGTCTTCAATGCCTTTCGACCCACTGGCCTTAAATGACTTCGAATTGGTACGAGATTCGTGTCTAAACTGCTTCTCGTGCCTATTTCACTTCTTCTTCCCGTACCTGTCGTTTCCCGTACCTTTTTCCCAATTGTTACGCTTTGACCACTTGTCCAGTCCACGTGTCACGCCACGTCATCTTCAATATAAATTCAACTTTTTTCCCAATACAATTACGTTATGTACGTTTATTTCTTTTTCTTGTTTGTGATGATAGCCAAATAGAAAATTTTCACTTTGAATTCGAACCTCAACATCCGATAGTCCACCACTTTATTTTTTGTGCTCTTCTTCCCTTTCTTTTTGAAATTCGATTTTTTGTTTAAATGACTAATTTGTTATTTAAAAAGAAAATTTTGTTGGTGTAAATATTTTATAGAATAAATTTAAGGGCCTCTGAATATGATTTCGCCTTAGGCCACGAGATATGTTGAGCCGCCCCGTCTTCCTCTGTTCGATTTTGATTGGTCCCGTAAGATCACAGAATATCAAGTAATTTGCTTCATGATCATGTGATCGGTAAGCTTCCAGCAGATGTTCTTGCACTAAGATATGTAGGCCATTCTTAACAGGTCATAAATCACTTGAAAGCCATTAAGGATTTCAGTCACTTCCTTCGTTTCAATTTAGATAATAAAATTTGACCGAGCACAATTTTTTTTTTTTTTAAAAAAAAAAAGAATTTTAAAACTAGTCATTTTAACTAAATCATAACCCTTGGGTGAAGATAAGACTTTTAAATTTTATTGCCTTATATATGTCATAAAATTAGTATAACACCTATAAGTTCTGTCACGAAATGTAAAATGGCGGTAAGTTTTATTATTTTCTTAAAGAAATCATTCTTTAAAAAAAAAAAACTAAAAAAGGAAGGTTGCCATATAAATTGGAATGCATGGAGTGTGATGTTTTATTTTTTTGATTTATTTATAGTTGATAGTTTAGCTAAACCATAGTGTCACTTTAACATATTAAAAACGGAGTCTGTGAGTGAAACTAACAGTCTTGTGAAAATTTTTTCTTCGCGAAAACGTTGGAACCAAATGTGTGCATGATATCAAAAAACAAGCGAGAGAAGAAAGATATTTTCTTGTGAAATCTTGATATTATTGGAATCGAAGTAAATAAGCATAATAATGGCCTCACGATTACAACCCTACCGTCCTGGGGAGGAGACCAACAGGGGACAGCTTGGTCCAGAAGTACAAGAAAATAACAGTCACTTAGCACCTTGTATACGGTCAAAACCGGGCAAGCCCGATTTTGCTAATCAATCGACACTAGGGGATCACATCAAGGGTCAGCCCCGTAATGGATCGGGCTATAGCACGAAGACGAGGTGTCGAGTTCAAGAATCGAGGTGTCCGTCGAGACCGTGGCCAGCAGCAATCGAGACTAAGTATGACCAACTTCGAGTGAAATGCAATAACGAAAAGGCGAGATATCCGTAACCGGTCGGAGATCGCGGCGGAAATCTCGGAACAGAACAAATCAAGGGCGGTTATTTGTACCAATCATGGGATTTACTTCCATAGTTAAAATTGTACTATAATTAGTATTCCTTTAGTATATAAAGAGGGGTTCCCATCATTTGTAAAAAACCTACGTTCACGAACATCAAATCAATATAATATTTCTATCTTTGCTCATCAACTTGCTGCTCTTTAACTATTCTTACTTTGCCAAGCTCGAGGGTTCATTAGCTCGAGGGCATTGACCAAACACTGGTTTGCTTTGTCTTATTGTTAATTTACATCGTTTATCTTTACATTTATCAATTGGTATTAGGTGAAACATATCTTTAAAACCACATTATAAGTTTAATTGTTATCCAGTTTTGAGAGTAAACAACTTGGCGCCCACCATGGGGCTAAGGATAATAGTGATTGCCTAGTGATCACGCCCTACTCTAGTCCTAAAAAGGGTAAGCGGTCGCTGCAAATATAATCCGATCTAAAAGTCCGGAGTAGAATCTCAAAGAGAACTAAGGCTTAGCTGTATCTGCTTAATATCACTAAGAAGACAAGATTGAACAATTTTCTAAATTATGAAGATTGAGATTTATATTTCTAACTAATTGACTAGCAAATACTACAAAGAGGTAAAATTATCAACTACCGAGACAAAGGGTTGGAGACTAAATTAAGGAGGTCTAGAGTTATGATTCCCCCAATCATCGGAATCCTTCTCGCTAAATTCCCTACAATTTCGCCAATGTATTCTCTACTAATCGTGAGCACTTTAGGTGCCGTAATTCTCTCTCGAGCAACTACAATAATTTACTAGACATATTCTCTCGAACTATGCTAGTTGGCTTTATCTAACCGCTCATTATGACCACGTCAAGGCTTTGTTATTTCTAAACCTACCTTTAAACCCAATATATTGATTTCTCACATACGTTAGGAGTGACGTTGTTCAACAACCACCTAAATATGTATCCTTTCTCAAGCAACACATAATAAATAGGCACAGTCAATCGATGGCCATTCAATCAACAACAATAAACACGTAGTTGACAAGTAAAGAAATCCAACGGCTCAACTATACGAAAACATAACAAGAATTTATCCTACAAAAGGTTCTATCAAAACCCTAGATAACAAATTAGTTATTCATAATAGTATGTAAAACTACAATACTAAAAGTCATAACCAACAATGAAAAATAGGAAGAGGAAGGAAAAACTCGTAGAAGAATTCTCCACCTTGCTCCTATTGTGTCTCTACGTCCTTAGGTCGAATCTGTGTCAAAAATTGGTCTCCTCCGCCTCCTTAGGTCTAAATTATGTCAAAAGTGTGTCCAGCCTCTTAAAATACTATTTTCCATGTATATATACCAAGTAGGGTCGGGCCCAAATAATTATACCTTCTCCTATGCGAAAAAGGATAATTTTTTCAGGTCTGGACGCTGCGGTCGCGATCCGGGCGCAGTCCGGGCGCGGTATTTACCCAGTGTACTGCCTCAGTCCGCGTCCAGGTCCGCGGTGGCAGTTTAGACCACGTTTTTCACCCTGTTCCGTTTGGAGTTTGGAAAAACGTAAAATATCAAAGTTGTAGCCCATTGAGTTAGCTTTCCAACAATATATTGTAGAGCTTAAATAGAGTTCTGAGCGAAAAGTTATGTGCCTTTCACTAGACAGTGCGCAATATGCCTATTCGATTCTTCGTTTTGTTGCTCTATCATCCGTTGATCCCCGAATACGATCCCAGCTTAATTCCTTGGGCTTTTACTCAGACTTCAAAGCTCCAAATCACTTGAATTCATTCCATAGTATCAATATAGCTCGGAATCACTCCTACAAGGCATAAAACACACCGTTAGTGCAAAACACTAGCGATTAAAGCGCAAACTCAACTAAAATGCTGTAAATTTGAGTGTAATAAGCGACTAAAATACATAATTATAGCCTATCATCGACACCCCACACTTAAACCATTGCTCGTCCTCGTGCAATCAAACTACACTTTATATAGACACGACCTTTTTAAACAATTCTCCTAACTCATCACACCAAGAATATTTAAAATAGACTAAGCACAAAAGCGTAACATATTCACCTCAAGATTTGACTCACAAGTACCACTCATTATTCACAACTCACCTACTTACTCTAACATAGAGGTCACTGACATTACCTTTCCTTCATGAATCAAGTGCCCTCACACAACAAAAGAGAGTAGTTC